TGAGCCACAGCGCCACTTCCGGCTTTTTCTGTTTATGTGGTGCTGAGGAATCGAACCCAGGGCCTTATGCTTGCAAGGCATGCACTCTACCGCTGAGCTACCTTCCCAGCCCCATCCAACATTTAAATTTTTAAGCAGGGAAATTGTTCGATGCTAGCCCAGGTGATTCAATGCCAGCCTAAACAGGAAAGTCCATGAGACTCATCTCCAAATAACCATCTGAAAACCGGAAGTGGCCCTGTGGCTCAAGTGGTAGAGCATTGGCCTTGAGCAGAAGAGCTCAGGGACAGCAGCACCCAGGCCCAGAGTTCAAGCCCCATGATTGACAAAAAAAAAAGAAAAGAAAAAAAAAGAAAGAAAGAAAAGAAAAGAAAAAAAGAAATCCCCCTAGACAGTGAGATATAGATCTCTGAGGTGTTTTTGAGATGAGACACAGATGTTCAGAAACTAGTCAAGAGATTTGGGAAAAAGCAATCCACATAAAGTTCTGATCTCGAAGTCGACCATGAAAGCAGTTTAGTGGGATGGACATAAGTGAAGTTATTACAATACATAGCATAACATTATTATTTCACTTACGCATTTACATGTATGTGCATATGTATGTATGCATGCCAACACGAGTCACAATGTTGTGTATTTCCTACTTTAGTGAGCTCAACAAGTTTGAAAGCTATTGAACTAGAGGGATCAAGCAATGGGAAGGCCTGAATGACAAGAAAGAGGTGTCTTGAGAACGATCAGCATGACTGAAGCAAACACTGAGGAATGGAATGAGGTAGGAAACGTACATATAATTTTCTATGTAGAACTTCCAGTAAAGCATTTTTGCCTGGACTTCCAATTTTATTCTTACTATGGTTCATCCTTAGATGACAGAATCATTTCCCTGTTTTAATGTTATTTTACAAACTGTCATTATGTTGACAGCCCTCTTCTCTGGGCTCTGCATCTTTGGACTCAACCGACTACTGATCAAAAATGTTTGAAAAGCAAAAGAAACAGTGCATCTTTACTCAACATGGATGCTTTTTTCTCTCTTTGCTATATGAGCAACTGCTTATATAGCATTATATTACATTTGGTATTAAAAGTAATTTAGAAGTGGTTTAAAGTATATAGAAGGACCTATGTGGGTTAAATACAAATAACTGCATTTTTTAAAAAAGAATATGGGACTTAGTGTCCTTAGATTTGAAATTTCCCAAGGGATCCTGGAACCAACTCCCCTTGTACTATGGTCGATCAACCAATATGATGGTAAAAATAATCTCTAAAAATCTATCTTATAGGGAGAATATATTATTTGCAATAATTAAAAAATGAGAAGCCTTCAGGGTAATTTCTAGGTTTCCTTATACTGAAAAAACTTTGTTATTACTTGGTAGTATTGAATTTTGCAAATCTCGTGACTATCAATTTTTTTAAAAATACATAAAAAGACTAAATGAGCGAAATGTAGAGGAAACCAAGCCAAACCAACCAAAAGCCTCAGACTGTGGCTATGGCTCTCCCATCAGTCATCAAAGGAACCGCCACAACTTAACCCCTCTGGCTTTTCAAAACCTTTACAAGAGCAGGAGGGAGCAGGTGTTCCCCAACATCAAGATCTAGGACTAAGCAACTTTTGAGTCACTAATTTAAAAAAAAAAAAACATTGCAGCAAACGAACCTTGGCATTTGATCAGAATTGTTTACATTAAAAAAATAAAAAAAAAACAAAAACCAAGTGACGTGATGCACAGGGAAGATCCTTGTCCTCAACCTGACCAGGGGATGGACCTGGTATTGGGGGGGAGGGAGGGAAAAAAACTGGAATTCGGTCAGGTATCTCCCCCAGGAGGAAGTTTCTGTCATACTCGACGGCTGCACTTTGGAACCCCGTGGCCTTTTCCCCCATCCTGAGCACCAGTTCTATAGGATCCTCAACCCAACTTCCTGAAAAGCGGAGGTGGAGCCCGCTCCACGCCTGTCAGTCCAGTGAGGACGGGCTCGGATGGACAGACGGCTCTAGGGGTGTGGGGGGGTGTAGGGATGGACGGGGCAGGGGTGCACGGGGCAGGGGTGGACGGGGCAGGGGTGGACGGGGCAGGGGTGGATAGGGCAGG